CTAACCCTAAACCTAACCCTAAACCTAACCCCAAACCTTACCTTAACTTAAATTGCGCTTCTGTCGGCGCGCTGTTGTCGGCGCGCTTTTGACATCGCGGTTTTAGTGCCGCGGTTTTGTCGGCACGCTTTTGACGTTCGCGCTCATGTCGTGCCACGGTTAGAAACTGCTGCGTGGGGTTTTCTTGCCATGTGCGCGGCCGCGCAGCCGCACACCTTAGAGGGAACAGTGATCAAAACAGGAGGTCTCTCATTAAAATCAGTGGGCCATCAAAGATCTTAAGAGCTGAGTTGGATTTTCTCCCAGGTTGAGTTCAATAACAAAATTCTTTAGGCTTCTCTCCATGTTTTCTAATCTATTGTAATTGAAACTAATTTTATGTGGGGGGGGGGAGTCCAGGGCAATATTCTTTCCTGTCCCTGCCCAAGGCCCTGAATTCTCAACACATCTGGCCATTTATTTTATAATCTCCTATTTCTACTCAAAAAGTGTTGAACAAAACTAGAGGATCCCAGATCTTCTGAAACAGTTTAGAAAGTTGTTCTTTGACTAAATCTTTGTAATGGCCAGCATCAAGAATATAAAGGTGCTTTCAACACCAATTTCATAATATCTGTCAGATGTTCTCTCTCCCCCCACCCCTCTCTCAGAGAGGAGGGAGGGGGAGAGAGTGAGAACACACGTGTATGTCTTTCTTGAGGGTGTAACTTTAACTCTGTTGAGGCAATTGAAAAGCTCATGTGGATGTGTAATAGTTGCATATTAGGAAGTCATGTGAATTGCCAAAGCAATATGTTACTCTCTCTCTTATACAACATAAATAGTAATTATCTTGGGGATTTGTACTGCCATTTCAAAGTGAGGAGTTTCCATTCCACACCTAGTAATTATAATGTGTAAGACACTCTCAGCAGCCTCTCAGGGAAAGTAAGAAAGGTGTGTGTGGGAAAGGAGGTGAACTTTTCTCTCAAACATAAAGATGAACTTATTTAAGTTGCCAATTTGAACTAGTTTTCCTTTTTTTTAATGTGTCTGGCTAACACGCACAGTGATGGGATGTGCCTTCCTATTACATCTGGGTTATCCAGTGAGCTCTAAGTCCCCTAGTTTTAAAAGAGGAAATAAATGTGCATCTAATTTTCTCACTGAAGTAAAGATATATTCATGTTTCCTTGGCTAAATTAGCTTAACCCTGATCTGGTGGTTTCCAAATATGTTGAACATATTAATAGACATTATAAATGCTGAATGGAAGCACCAAATTGAAGAAAATAGGTTTAGGAAGCTCCCAGATTTCTACTATACAATATATGTCTTTATTTTTTAAAGCTTATTCTTGAATTTCAGTCTGCTGTTTTGTGCAACTATCTTCCAGAGATACTGTAATCTTTCATGCCTATGCAAAATGAGATCAATAATATGCATTTCAACATTCACAATTTAACTACAGAGATGAATGCCTTCAGCTTGATCCAGATAGTTATATATTAATAATCCAGGTGTAGTACGACAGTTCTGCTCTTAATTCTATGCATATTGGGGGTGAAAGTAAATCCAGCTGAATTAAATAAGAGTTCACTATATGAAAGCAGTGTCTGAATCACATCCATTGTCCAACATTTGAGATCAATTTGTCATTGTTCTTCCCAAAATGTGGTTTTCATAATGGGATTCAGTATCCTAGGGTTGTCTGAACAATGCAAAATATAAGGAAAGGATGATTTGTCTAGATTTTGTCTAGACTTTTGTTTATGTAGGCTAGAATTGCATTCGCTTTTTGCAGCAGCATCACATTGTTGGCTCATGCTTAACAAAGGATCCACCAGGTCCTTTTTTTGCACTTCTCTTTTTTCTGTCCCTGACCAAGAAGGGTACCACCACACATTATTTTTATCATACAACCAGGAAAAAAAATATATTCTGGCAGGTATCAATTCATTGGGACTCTGAAACTCATAGACTTGAGAGCAAATCCTATTCTGAACTCAAAGGTTTATATGATCCTCTGAACTACAGCCATAATCCAGTCTGACCTCCTTTCGTTTCTGGGCTGGCCATGGGTTTTGACCTTGTCCTTTGCATATCACTCTACTCCCAGCAATTGGGTCAATCTTTTTGAAAATCAGATGCTTATTTTAGAGGGCATTCTGAGACTTGTACCCACATGAGTTTGAGTCCCAGGATGTCACACCAAGGACGTAAAAAAAAGTTATTTTACTAAGTCATGGGAACCATGATTTCAGCTTGACATTTTTTAAAATGTAAGGATATATTCAGTGCTTATTAACTAAGGAATCCTTTAAAGGATTTGGAAGTTACATCCTAATTGCATTAACAGAAGTTCCTAATCCTTGAGCATTGGAAAAAGTGACTTTATTTGCAGCAGAAGGTAGTTCTGCACATTATTACAGTGATGAAATAATAACATCAGCAGTAACATGAAAGATTTCAAAGCTGTTTTTAAGAAATAAGGACAGGCAGGAGGAACATCTGGAGTGTTTGAATAGATTTTAAAAGTATTTTAATAATATAAATGTTAGAATGAACAATTTCCTGAGCAATTTCCTTTTTCCAATAGATTTTGACTCCACTATGCCATCACCTTGTGACATTGTCCTTGTGTTGGCTTATCCAAAGGCTGTTTTGGGGGACTGTCAATAACCTTGCTTTGAGCAGTTTATGCTGTCTCAAGCCAAGTAAATAGCTAACCAACCATGACTGATCTAAACAAGCTTAGCAGATTTGAGCCTGTTTGTGCTTGGATGAGAATCCCAGGACTGTAGGCTAGGCTGAATTGCTGAAAAATCCCTATGGTTGCCAAGAAAACAATATGAAGTCGAATGAAGTCACCAAGAATTGGCTTCATTTGAAAGGGATGTTGCAAACCAAGCAACAAAATCAAACTTGATTAGATGTAAAATACATAAGCAAACACAGAGAAGTGTAAATAGTTAACAAACCCAGAAAAAAGGGAACCCATTTTTCATCTCAACACTTGTCCAGGTAGGTGATAACTCTGTGGAGAGAAGAGAGGGAGGCTATGAGCCCGGTCCAAGTCAGGCATCCTGTAGATTTTGTCTTAAATGACTGTCTACAGCAGGGGTATCAAACTTGATTTCATTAAGGACCGCTTCAGGGTTGTGTTTGACTTTGGGGAGCAGGGGTGGGTGTGAGTAGGGCGGGCATGGACAGCTCAACATCACTCATGTCAGGAGCACCTGTGGTGGCCTGA